CCAATGTTCTTTCACTTCACACACAAACACACAATGCACAAGGCACGGCCAATCCCAGAGAGCGGTTGATTCCTGTGCTGTGAGCAGATCTCTTTGTCAGATCAGCCTCCCGTCACATCAGAGGCCCGCTCCCTGACTCATCAGCATACGTTTGTAGCACCAGGATCTATTCCTCCAGCCTGTTCATAGCTCTTGCTTGTTCCTCTTTTGCTCTCACTCCCACGCTCCTTTCTTCCTCCTTTTCTTCGCTTTCGTTTTTTTGCAAACCTAGTTCAGCCCACGATTTACATTGCCTCTTGATTATCCCATTAAATCTGTGCAAATAAATGCTTGTATTGTTTAAAAGTATAATGCTGTTGTAATTTTTAAATTATAGAAAATATTCGCTGCGCTGTTAAACTGCCATGGCAAGATATCATTTTCTATTCAGAGGTTTTCATCTGAATTTTTTGATCCTGTGAAATACATAGCCAAGCCTCTAATCCTCTCATTTCCCCCTCTTCCCACCGTGTCCTTTTCCTTCATCCCTCTGCCTCATAGACAACACTCAGTGGGTTTGGTGATGTCAGACGTTGGTTTCTGGCCCCCATCCAGCACTATTTCTTCTATGTCTGTGCGCTCTCTGTCACTCCCAGGTCTTGTCTAATGTGGCTTTCCGTCTGCCAGTCACTGTGGCTGTGGCTCAGTGACTCAGACTAAACAAATAGCATCAGGTCTGTAACCTCCTCACAGATTAATCGTGGGCCTGGTGTGTCACCTTGTGGTGTCCCTTTCGCACGCTATTGCCTCCCAAATGTTTCAACCTCAGAGAATCCATTCACCAATAGACATTTAGTATCTAACAGTACGAATGCGCTACGATGTACTTAGTCTTTGTTATTGTACTGACTGTTCTGGATGTGCTCTGCCACAGTGCTTTCATCTTTGTTGTTTATTTCAGATCTGAGATTCTTGAGGAGGGAAAAAGGTTTTTTTTTTTTTTTTTTTTTTTTTTGCCATTGGCTGAGAGCTTGGTCTCTTTCTATGCTTTAGCAATCTTCCACTAGGGAGCAATCCCGGTCAAGAAGATTCTATGTGACATGGGAACATAAGTGAAATTAGTGGTAAAGGAGGTGGGTGAAATGCTGCATGAGGCTGGTAATTGATAGTGTTAAACTTTGCCTTCAGAGCAATAACGGAGTGAGTCTTAAAAATGTGTGTGTGTGTGTGACTGAGGACAAGCATGACTTTGCGTTTTGATTAAGTTCATCTCTTGTGTAATCTGCGTCCAGCTCCCCTCTCCTTTGACTGTCCAACGGGCTCCGGAAAGACATCATTGCTACAAAGCACACTGGTCGTGGCTTGAGCCAGCCAATGAGGCTGCTGTCCAGCCCTTCCCTTAGTACCACCATCTGGCTAATGAGCTGTCAATCACTCTCCAGGGGCCGGCCAAGCCCAAAACCAAGAGGCAATCAATCTCCTCGAGTGTGGACACTCAATTATTCCCCATTGTTCAAACCTTAGGCCCAAATGACAGCTTTTCTTGGGACTAGGCATTTTGTCTGGAAATGATTTTCTGTCCTTGTGGAAAAGGTGAAGATTGTGGAATTAGGCCTTTGTAAGGTAATTTATTACTTAGGTCTGCTCTATACTCCCGTTTAAAGACTGGTGCACTAATAGCCCCACTGTGCCTCTATTCTGTAGGCAGTGCTTAGAGATTTCCCTGAAGGTAATGTACAAGGCTCCGTGGAACCTGGCTGGTGCTATGGGGATAAAGAAGAAATCAACTTGTGATCTGATAAATGTCCAAGGGGACCATGCAGAAGCTTTGTCCTATGGGTGTCGGTCACATCAGCGGCCCCTCTTTGCTGTGTTTTGCAGGGTGGTTGTGGGCATCTGGTAGTGGCAAGGTTTGACAAATGATCGTGCAGCCTTTTGTTAAGCTAGACTGTCAACCATCTGTGCAGACAAACACAAACACGCTGCCGTCTGCATGATATTCCCTCATGCGCTACATGTTTGTCAATGTTTTTACTTGTTGATTTTTATTTATTTAAATGTTTTTCGGCCTTGGTCAGCCTACACACTGGCGAATTGGATAAATGAGCTTGTTACTCTTTTGTGAGCGGGTTCCTGTGACAATTCACGACTCCTTTATGGCAGTTTTTTTTTAAGCATGTGTGTTTGGTGTTGTATTCCTCTAGGTCCGCCCTGGTCTTATGTGTATGTGGACACTGCAGCCGGGCAGGGACCACATGATTCTTTCATACCATAATAGTAGTATAACATAATTTTTCTCTGTACTTTTGCGAGTGGAAACCCTTCTGCTGCTGCCACATCTTTTTTTTTTTTTTTCTCCTACACCCTCCTAAGGCTCAAGAAAGCACCCGGCCAGCTTAAACCCTGCTTCATCACCACCGACTTACACAATTTGCACAAACCCCACGCAGAAGCATCGCGGCTACATTTTTTGAGCGTAGCATCAAGCTACTCCACCATCAGGCGTCGTCAGTTTAGTTCCAATGCAGCCACGATTTTATCCTGTTCATCTTGTTATTTCTTTTCCTGGAGATGACAAGAAGCTGGATTCCATAGGCTGGCAGGGTTTAGCCGTCATGTCCTTATAGTGTGTGACAGTATGAGGCCAAAACTACACACTCTCTAGCACGGACACCTGGGATTCATTTGGATGATGTGGGAATATCATTTTCACACAGAGACCACGCAGCATGTTCATTGTCAACAGAGGTTACGTCGAGCTGGATGGATGACGGAAGTGAAAAGAGGAATGGAGTAGAGTAAAGAGTCAGTATTGTGTGTGTCTCTTAGGCTGCTTACTGAGACTTGCATTTTGCATGTGGATGTGGGAGTTAGTCGGGGGGGCGTTAACAACGACATCATTCCTGCCAAGGCGCTGACAGGCTGCAGGCCCCACGGGGCTCAGTCGGCAGCACGCTCTGGATGCATCACCATCAGTCTCACTTCCCGAGCCTCCATCAGCTAGTTCACTGTTAGATAACAAAATCATTAGGAGCCACTGTGTGTCATGAGTCGTCGTAGCAAATGTCACCAACAGTATCTTTTTATGCAATATTTATAGGTGGCCGTACATATGTCAGCATTTGTTAATTTTGTTGATGTATGAGCATGTATGTGTAGAGAAGGCATGACAAGGCTTATGAGCATGAGGCAGCATGGTGGAGTCACTACTCTTCATACAGCGCTCTGCTCTGTATCGAACTCCCTTCTCCCCTCACCCCTTCCGCAGTCTGTTTCTTTTGCAGCAGGAGCGTGCTTCAAGTGGAGCCAGACCTTATGTCCACATCATAATCGTCATCGTCATTCTCTCCTCTCAGTTACAGGCTCAATCACATTACTGGCTTCTGTTTGAATATATGAATGCATTAGCCCAAATGGCTGAGGGAGAATAATGCAGGAGTAGGGATGGAGAAACCTCAGTATATTGAGGAGATGGATGTTACTTTATTTAGATTTATGTGTATTGCAGGGCTAGATACAGAACATTGGTGGATTAATAGTTACCGGACCAGGGTCATTGGTTGGCTGACGGCCGCTCACAGAGCCCAGAGCATGCAATGCTATCTTTTCTCCACATTAAAGAGGATTGGAGATCTATTCAATCCAGGCTAAATGGCTTTCTGCATCTGTTTCTTTCCATCCATCAACAGCTTTGTATATTGGTGGGTTATTTCCCCTTGGACACGCCAGCCCAACTCCGCCTCAAAGAGCGCATCACAGATGGAGAGATGCAGCCTAGTGCAGCACGAATGTGAGCTTTGCTACCTGTCTGACACTTGTTTCAGTCATCCGAGGCCAGCAGCTGATCAATAGCTGATTCTAAGTAGAACATTTAAAAGCCCCAGGGTGCAGAGAGATGCAGGACTGCTGACACTGAGGATAGCACGGCCCATGACACAGTGAGAGGTGGAGAGCACAAGGAGAAGCTGAGGGGGGGCTGGAGCAGGATAGGACTCTGGACCCTAAAGGGGCATTGAGGCAGCAGGGAAGGCGAGGGGGGAGGGCAAGGCGTGGCATTGGCAGGGTTTCTTGTTTTTGACTTGGAGTCCTGGTGCAACGGGGGAGGAATGAGTGATGACTAACACTTCAACTGCTTGGGTTAGGATAGGCTTTAGAGAGGCAATTAAAATGCATTCAGAAATTCTGTTGAGCTTCTTTCAGACTGAAAATAAAAATCCTTGGCTTCAAAACTCTATCACTTTGTATCTCCTATGTTGCTCTTCTTTTATCAATATCATTCAATTCACACCCCTCGCTGATCTGCTGCTCCCCTTCTCTCACACACCCATTCAGGAGCTGTCTGGCTAATAACCAATTATGAACTAAAAACAGACTTAGGCTCTGCGACCCTGAATAATCCCCTCTCTGCCAATGTCATCACATACTAGCCCACGCCTACTAATGCTCAGGCCAAAACAGACCTGTCTGTGAGTTTTGCAGCCTATCTCGGCAGCAGTGCATGGATAGTGTATGTCTGGGTTGTATTCAGTAAACCCTAATATCCTGTATGAAGTGCTTTCGTACCATTCTGTAATCACGCATACAAATAGAGATCTGCATGGGACTGTTATTTCAATTCTATTCACCTCACCTGCTTGCGTAAAATTTCCGACATTTCAATCTCACTTCCACATATGAGCTAATCAGATCCTCAACCATCGCAAGATCTTGTGTGAAAATATCC